CACCCACGGATAGATATTCATTCTTCTATTCTATCTGTTTTGTTTGTTGGAAGAGGAAGAAATATGGTATGATGACAATAAATTAGGAAATAAAAATCAAATTATATAATTATAATCTATACCAAATCAATGCACACGCGTTCGTTCTTTTTCATTACACACAACACAACCACTCGTCGATCATTCACAAGACAATTAATTAATTGTGAATCCTAAAGTTTGATCAGTCTTTAAAGCTCATCTTTAAAATCTTCGTCGGCACCTCCCGCTGGTGGTGGAGCTCCACCCGCTCCTTGGTACAATTTCGCGATAATAGGTTGTACAACATCCTCTAATTCTTTCTTTTGTTTCTTGTAATCCTCTGAATCTGTGTCTTGATTTTCTTCCAACCATTTGATCTTCTCGTCAATCGCTTCTTCCATTTTCGTCTTTTCTTCGTCAGACAACTTACCGCCCAACTTTTCCTATAATCATTTTTTACTTATTAAAACATTAAACGGTTGAATCAATGGTAAGCACACACTGCTCCCATGTTGGGATTTTTAAAATGAATTGTTCTCGTTTTATATTTTAATTGAATTTAATTAAGTGCTTTTTTCTCAACTTCTGTGTTCTTAACTAATAAACCAAAGTATTTGTTTAACATTTATTGTTATATTATTCGGTAAGTTTTAGGTATTTAATTGACATATTCTCTAAGTAGAACTGCAGACACTTTTGTAATGTACCTTGATGTGTCTTAATGATTCCGTCGATTTTTTATACAAGAAAAGGAAAGCAATAATAAGGGCATAAATATCTGTGTATTTTTCTATGATATTTACCAATAATTGTAGTAATACGTTGTTGAAAATCTGAACAATTAATTATTGATATTGCATATTAATATTGTAAATATTTGATAATAAACGACCAGTTAAAATTATATCAGTAAAGTATTGTATTTACACAGGGTTTTTATGTACTGCATTATTTACGGAATATACTCCAAGTCTGTTTGCATCTAAATTTTGTAATTGCAATACATTTGCAAATAAATAATTTAAAAGTACTGTATACTATGTATGACATGTAATGTGCGAACACTCTGTATCTCAACTAAAATGTTTAAAATTAATTTTTAATTTTTAAAATTTTACAGGGTGTTCACTATTGATGAGAAAAAATTTTGTTAACTCTGAAAATTATTCCCATTTTTCCGGACCACTTACGCTGGAAAATAATTCATGTAATTTACCTGGCTTATTCCAGCTACACTCAGGAACCTTAAGACCAGTGCTATAGGTATCCCCCAGAATATTTGGCAATATGAATATTTCAAATCGAACGTAGGTATACTAATAACTACCCCTGAGACTCTCAAGAGTTCATTCTTTTATTTGTCACTAACAGCATACACACACTATACACACATGATGAGGATAACCGATCTTCACCCTCGCAAGAAGCACAAGTTGTGCTGCGCTGACACCACAAACACAGACAAAACTATCATACACGTACAAACAGCATTGGAAACACTAGGCGTTTCTGACTTTCCAGGAAGTGGACACCCTATTTTTCTAAATCTTCATCATTGGAGAGCAAATAATACATCACAGGTATTTATATTTTTTAGTTTTGAAAAAGAGCAATAATATCAGGAATGAAACTTTTTTTTCGAAAAGTGGGGTAGGGTAATAGAGAATAATACAATTCAGTTCAAAAAAGTATTACCAAAGCAAAGAAACTCAACTTTGTTTTATCATAGCTACAGGTATTTTGGAAAAAAGCTCTAACAATATAATTCCCTATGCACTCTTCAACATCAACAATTTTAGAGTAGTTTCCAAAATATACCTAGTTGTGAAAAAACGAATTTGAGTTTGTTTTGGTATTATAATGCTTCACAATCATTCAGCTGTACGAACAGTTGATTTTATTAAAAATATATATTACTTACAACTACTTCGTCCCCCCTGTTAGTCAATGTGAGTTCGAAACTGTTAGCACCATTGCTTCGAATGGTCGAAATTCACTTTTGTGAATGACGTAGTGTCGGCCATCATTCTTTTCTAATTGTTGCTGTTGTCGGCCATCATTCTTTTTCAATTGTTGTCGCATTGTCACTGATGTCGGCCATTATGGTTTTTTAATAGATGTATA